AAAAAAAAATAAATAAATACATAAAAACGGATTCTAAGAATCCGTTTTTCTTTAAAAAAAAAAAAAAATTAAATAGAAAAAACGGATTGCGAAAATCCGTTTTTTAAACAAACTCGAATTTATTTAAGGTTAATCACTTGATTAAATAAAAACGAGATTAATTAATGAAAAACGGATTATCAAAATCCGTTTTTCTTTCGGGATTAACAAAAAACGGATTCTGAAAATCCGTTTTTCCCTAAAAAACGGATTTTCAGAATCCGTCTGTTTTACTTTTGTCCACGTTTTATTTTTTATTTTTTATTTTTTTTCCACAGATTTTTTTTTTTTATATAAATAAATGATTCTCATTACACAAATGAAGGGCTAAATAATGAATAAGTTAATGACAAAATATGTATTTTAAAAAGGGCATAGAGTGTTCATTTACTGTTCTTATAAACGGTTCATGGTATGGACCGCAAACGGTTCATAGTATGGGCCTAACATACATTATAAAATAGTAGTCCACATCTAATCCGAGGAGCCCAATTCTCAAACTAACAGCGAAATATCCTGGTAAGCGGTAACCCGACGCCCCGAATTAGTCATTTCGTAGCATTTGTTTTACAGAACTCTTCAAACACTGCGCAATTTCCATTTCATTTTCCAAATCTATTCATTTTCGTTTTTGGCGCTCGTGATTTTTCTCCTCTCGAACTCAGGTAAGCCTCTCTTTGTTTTCTGTAATTTTTATTAGGTGTTTCAATTTGTTATGCATCTAGGGTTTATAAAATTTTCTGCCGTTGATTTTCGCTTTGTAAATTCTTGTACAGGTCCGACGAAATTTATCGTGTATGCGATTTTTTTGTTTTTTCGCCGATTCCATACTTTGGTGTTGAATCTGATTTTCGATTGCCTGTTTTAACTTTTAATTTTCACCTGTTATTGGGTGTGCTGCTAAATAGCATAAATTGGATCCATCCATCTCGGTATAAAGTGTATTTTTAACATCTCAGTTTTTTTTTTAGATCCTTTCGCTATTGATTTTGATTTCCCAAGAGTTTTGTTTACATAGATATGGAGTTGTATTGCTAGTTTTCTTTGTATTCTGGTGTTGAATCATTAGATTGTATGGTTTTTAGATTCTTGATCAACAGGCTGAACAGGTTCTGTCCAACCCGTTCTCTTCAAGAAGAAATAAAAAAGGAAAAAAAATGAATAAAATGTAATGAGTGTGTCTCTTGGAATATTCGTATCTTACCAGATGTGGAGATTCTTGTTTGTAATTTCTGGATGAAGAAAAGGAAGTAAGAAAGGAAGAAAGAAAAACCGGATGATGGAAAAGAAAATAGAGAGAGAGAGAGAGAGAAAGAACTAATCAATGCATTAAAAATGTAGGGGTACTCGGAAGCTGACCATTTTTTATATTAATATTTGCTTGAAAACTCGTCTAATACATTATACATTCTCATTGTCAAGTATTGTGGTGCCCTCATTCACGTTCCTTGATGCAAATTACTTTTTGCGTTTTTTCTATCTGATTGTGGTTTGTTTTTATGATGATTTATGTTTAACCACATGTTTTCTCGTAAAAGCTGTTTTTTTGGTGCAATTGCATCCCATTCTTTGTTATGTCCTGTGAAAGTTATTTGCAGGAATTATGTGTTTTAAGTAGTTGTTCTTTCTAGTTTATATTTCAGTATACTGGGAAGCAAGGACAGTTTAGAATTTCCTATTAGTTTGTGGCCAATAAATTTTACTGCGGTGTTCCTTTGAATCAATGGAGGCTCACCAAATTATAAATTCAGCTTCATAGCGTTTTTGTATCCCAGGAAACTTTTGTATTCTTGCTCACTTTGAAGTTTCTAGTTTTTATGCACATTATTATTCTCAAATCATGCAAGGTTTGTTATTCAGGATGACCGAAACACCTTTTAGGCCAAGAGAGAAGCTTCTTGAAAAGCAGAAGTTTTTCCAAAACATTCATAAGCATACGTACCTGAAAGGACCAATGGACAAAATCACCTCAGTGGCCATTCCTTTGGCTTTGGCTGGTTCCTCTTTGTTTCTTATTGTGAGTTCATTTTCTCCTCTCTTTTCTATTCTTTGCCTTTATGCACATATAAGCTTCAAAAATTGTTCTTAATTGGCGATTGATGTCCAGGGGAGAGGAATTTATAACATGTCTCATGGAATCGGGAAGAATGAATGAGGATGTGTCTTCTTTTCTTTGACAGGGCCAAATTCAAGCTTCTATTATGAAAGTTCATAATTTGGAAAATGGTTTTTGTTACTACGGTTTGCATTTCAATTGCTAATAATTTCTGAATGCCGACATTCGATTTGTGGATTTGTTTTATTCGTCGTCATAACAACATAATAGTACTGCTTAATGAGTTTGATTCTGAAATCTTGATTCTGGTTTGTAATGGGAATTGAATGATCAACTTACTGGAGTTTGATGTGTTCTCAGCAGTTTCTAGTTGGTTGTTTAATGAGGCAGTTTTGATTTCAGAAGCTTACCTGTGGGGAAATAAAACAAGGAAAAACGTAGTGCGTGTGTGTTGCTCCTAAGAATTTTGTGAGGCAGCCTAATGAATATGTTGGTTGACCAGTCATACTTTTTTTTCAAAAAATGTATACTTATTTTAAGACATGTCATACTTTAAGCAAGCTGACCCATTATATTTTTGAACAAAAATGAGCAATGTAATACTTTTATCTATGTTGTCTATGCTGTTTTTAAAATGTGTAAATATGTCATTTACACATGAAACTATGTATATCTGTTGAAAAAGTACGGCAATTTGTCTAGTACCAGTGTTCTTGAAGCCGCTAGGCGTCCGAATAGTTCACAATGCCTAGGCAGTGCCTAGAAATGAAGATTAAAATCTTATTTTTTGTTTATTTTCACTACTTACAAAATAAAATTATCTCAACTTTTAATAAATATATACACCTAACTATCTCAACTTGAAAATTGCCGCCGAGTCTGTCTAGGAGCGTCTTGGCCTGTCAAGTTTTAAGTTGATGCCGTCGTTGCTAGATCGCAGAGGTCGCCTGGTCGATTTTTTCAGCTTATAATCAACAAAATCCCATTTTAACAAATAGTTTCTAAGGAAATTGAACTCCATTTTTAGTCACTTCTCATGGCCCTTATAAACACCATTATACCTGGTATTTAGGACTCTTTATTTGAGGTTAAACCTCACAAAAAACGCAGCAACTCAATCAATTCTTTCGAAACCACGCAGGGCTCCGAACATAGCAATTATTATCCCGACTTCTCAAATAACTTCAAATTAATTATCCCGACCCTTATATTCTAGAAAAATATAAATTTTTAGAGGCTAATACACGTAGTAAGTCAAGAATTCAACATCATCTCAATAAGTTGAAAAATAAAATTCTCTTATCACATGCATTAAAATAGAATAATGCGTCTCATCGCCATGAACCTCAGATTTAATTAAAATCCTTCAGATATACTCTAATATAATAGGAGAGTTGCAGCCATATACCTCCTTTGAGGAAATGAACGAGAAAGCTCAGAAATTCTGAAATCAGGTAGCTTTGGACATGACAAAACCCGGCCTTGGCTGCTGCAACTCACGGCAATGGCCTACTCATACTTCGCTGATTTGGACACGGCGACTCAAGCCCGGTTACTCACTGCTGCTCCTGGCACTCGGCTATCTCTCGCAAACGATAAACGGTCGGTTTTTTATGCTCGCTGAACGGAAATCGCACTACTACTGCTTGATGCCAATGCTCGAGGACCCCGACTGCTTTGATAAAAGCCTCAAACGGTTGCCGTTATTCTCGTACGAGCCCAAAAGGGCTGCCGCTACTGTTCGGGCCACTAAACAAAGGCCCAAGGGGGTGCCGCTGCTCGCTAACAAAACTCCCGGCTGCTTCTCAGGAACATAAAACAAACGGGCCTGCTGTCACGCGAATAACGGCCAGTGGGTTGTTGCCATTCTGGCTCTCTTCTCCAGCGATGGCGAGGACTGAGATGAACTCGGCGACGACGAACAGAGACCGTCGGATTTCTGCTGCTACTTCTCGGAACCTAACTGTTGTTGCCGTTTCTCGCACGGTCCAGAAGAGCTGCTGCCAAACGACGTGAACGGCTCGAGAAGAACCTCGCCGTTTGCTATTACTGCTTGCTGTCGCCGGCGGCCGGTGGCTGAAACGGGCGCGGCAGCGAAGGGCTGACCGGACGGACAGAATCTGCTGTAAATCTCCTCTTCCGACAGGATCGACGGGAAAGAGAGCGACGGGGAGGGGCTGACGAAGATGCTCATCACGGCGGCGGCTACTGACGGACCTCGGCTTGGTAGGACGGAATCTGCCCGTCGTTAAAAAGAACTCCGGGCGGTGATGAGAAGAATCGAATTTCTCTCCCCGCAAGCACACAGCAGACGACGATTGGAAGTTTAGGATTGTGAGAGGTAGTGCAGCCTCGTTTTGTTTTTTTTCCACGAGATACTCGACCGAGTTGGCGACCTAGACATCGGTTGACTTTACCACTTTAGTTTTTAGGGGTGCATGCCCACGTCTCTATGAGATACTTGCACGACCCCGAGTATGTGGTAGACTTTGGCGAGCTTCGGGTCGGGTAGAGCCTGACTTGCGAGGAGATATCGATAGCCGTAATGGACCAGAGGGTCCACCAGTTGAGGAGCTTGGTAGTGTCGCTCATCAAAGTCCAGCGCAGCCGCCATGGCGAGGCCGACGCAACTTGGGATAGCGAGTACGAGATTTGGACGTAATATCCGAATTTTCAGTTTTGAGTTATCCTTGGTAGCGGGTACTATTGTACTTTCCTTTAGTTTGAGTCAGTATTTCCTATGACGGAAATCTTTTAAAGAGGGTAGAATGTAGCGGAAATCTTTTATACTTTAGCTATTAGGAAGATGCATCAAACCCTGCGCTTGAGTTACTATTTTTCTCAACATTAAATGAAATGTGGAGAAGAGGGTAATGGAAGGTGCTTGTGGAAGCACGACTTCTTATCAGATGTTAATTTTACCAAGTTTTATTCATGAAAAGATTGTACTACTAATCATTTTTATATGGCAAGTGGTTCACTATGTGTCTTTGTTTAAACTTTCAATTATAAACAGGCCTGAGGTTGCAGTTTATATAAAACAGAAATCAAGACTCTTAAACACACCCCTTAAGGTAATAACTATTACATACCCCGTGCATTCGGACAGGGATATTAAATAAGTTATTTTCACACCCTAAGTTATTATCTATTTTATATCTCTTTGAATCAACGTTAAGTCCAAAAAACAATAGAGTTATTATAAATCGGGACAAAGATATTAAATAAATTATTTTCATAAATAATAGGGTTATTATCTATTTTTTACCTCTTTTAATCAACGTTAACTCTAAAAAACTTATTATAAGTTTTTTTCTACATCTTTTAACCAACGTTGTTTTTTTAGCCAGAAAATTAAATATGAGCATGTTAGGGTTAACTTGTAAAATAATTAATATATTATCTCACTAAAACATTTATACTAATAAAAATTTAATTTTAGCATATAAATTTATCACTTGATATAAGAAAAAGTAACAATTTTATTTATTGTTGTTCACTATATAATATGTAATTATTATTTTATTATATAATAAAAGAAATACTGTCAAATAGTGTAGTAGAATTGTTATAAAATTATATGAATTATATTTTTGTACAATATGGATTTAGTATCTTTTTATGATTTGATAATATAACTATAATATATTCTTAATGATACAATCTGGAATCGGATTACAGAATTTCAATACATAAATAATAAAAATTTTGTTAAAAAGATAAGAAGGAAATTTCGATTTCAATCTACAAAAAGTTTAAAACGATTTTATGGGATTTTGTTGACTAAACGGATTTTATGGAATAAAACAAATAGAAGATAAGAAGGAAATATCAAATATATAAAAAATTAAAGTCGATTTTGTGGGATTTTGCAGGAAAACAGATTGTATGAGAATAGTAATAGCATTAATTCAATCGCATAGCATTAATTTCAATATAAAATAATTAAATAAAATACATGCTGGAAATAGTAATAGCATTAATTGCAGCTGACTTTTCTGGATACTATTTGTAGTAAATATGATCCTTTTATATAAGTATAGATTTCTTATAGAAATCAGCTTATTGTCAATATACATTGCTTGTTTTCAATTTATCCAAAAGATAAAAAAGCAAAAAGGCGAGTAATAGATGAGGAACCTCCAAGAAACACCGAAGAAGTCTTAAAATCGAGCAAAGAGAATGAAATCACCACAACTACAAAGCAGAGAAAAAGGAAATGTAAATGTTATAGTAAAATCAAATTCATATACATCACAGGGGAAAAAGGAAAATACATATATCATTTATCCATATTGTTATCACTGATTTCACAGAGCACGAGGTATATGTAATATGAGAAAATGATTGCGGCGTGAATAATCTTACAAATTCATAGAATAAGAAACACCATAAACATAGGTAACAAAATCCAGCATCAGAATACCACAAAGAAATCAAAGCGTAAAGTGCTCCGGAGGTAAGGTCGATGCATTATTGAATCGATTATTATAATGTTAGAACTTAGAAATTTTTATGTTACAAATTAGAATGATTATCTTATAGAATTTATTATTATTATTATGTTAGAACTTAGAAATTTTTATGTTATAATAAATAAAAATTCTAATATAATTTCTGTCAAAATGCCCAATTTTGCCACAATAGTAGCACAGATTGACCAGCTTCTCATACTTGAAGGTTACTTGCATCAATTGGTTCCCTAGATTAATATAGGTACATCTGAGGAGAGCTTCTTTCACTTCCGGTTTCACTAGGAGTCTAATGAACTGACCTTCTGGTCCTCCACATGTACAAACTGTCACATTCTTATCCCCTCTAAATATGCTCCCCAATTTTAATTCTAACCTCCGCACTTAACCAATGGATCAGCACGTTTTATACCCTCACCCACAGATCGATTTCCCAAAAATAAGAATGATTTTCGAGATTCCTTCAATTCATTCCTTTAGCACTAAGTATTGGTTCTCAAAAATCCAATTCGTACCTAACTTCACTTTCAGTAGGTCTTCTTTGAACTCGAAGATGAACATGAAGATATTACAACCAATTTCCCTCACCTCCATAGATTTTTGAATCTGCCATATTTGACCCATCGTTTGGTTTAGTCCAAACATGCCAGCCTTTTTGATGGAGGTAAATATAATTTAGTTATTTATGCTTTTTATTTATTGTTAGTATTTTAATTCTAGATTTGTTAGTTAAGTTATATAATTATTCTAGTCTTTCTATTTAGTAGGAAAGATATTTAATTATATTTTACTTGTTAGGAAAGTTAGGACTCTTGGGTTCTATTTAAGAGAACCTCTTCTTTTTGTGATTAGTTAGTAAGTTTTATGAAATAAGAATATATTCTTCACAGTTTTATCTCTTGTTTTCCCTTCGTATACTTTCGCTAAGCCAGTTGGTGTCCAGAGACCAGAACGATCCATGATGTCGCCGAAATGCTGCAGATGAGCGACGTCATGCCACCATTGAGGCTCTAGTGCGCTTGAGCGAGGTGCAGGTCAATTTGCAAATCTGACCACAAGGATCGAGGACCTCAGCCTCGCTTTACAGCTTTCCAAAGTGATCGGGCCAAACCGTGCCCACGACGGAGGCGCAGTGGGATGAACAGGGGTCGTAGCGTTTGGGCCCGACTATGGTTCGCCTCACTCATGGGTTGGAGACGGTGACGATGAAGACACCTTCTCCGAGGTTAGTCCATTCGATCATCAGGCTCGGGACGACGATTATCATGCCGACAATCGTTGATGGGACTCGTCTTTTCGCTCGACATTTTGGATTTACTGATGGCTTGGATGCTTCGGAGTTCTTGGATTGGATGGCTACGGTCGAGACCGTCCTCGACTATTCACGGGCCTGTGCAAATGAGCAGTGGTCGACCTCATATGAGGGTCTGCCTTGTTTTAATGACGAGAGGACAACCGAATATACGGGTTCGCCGATTTCTTATGAAGAGGATCCAACTCTGTTTGATGAGCAGGGGTCGATCGAGTCAGTGGGTCTGTCTCTGTTTGATGAGCAGGTTTCGACCGAATATGAGGGTTCACCTGTTTTTTATCACGAGGAAGTAGAAGATGAAGCGGGAGATATGATTGGTGATGGGTTCACAATTATGCTCATGGCGTCAAAAGATCTCCACCAAAGGGATGGCTTCATTAAACTGCTTAACTTCCCTCTAGAGCCCTGAAATTCGGCCGTTGGCTGAGCAAACTCCTGAAGGCCTCCAAAAGCTACTTCCAGAAGTGCCACTTTGCATAAAAAAAAAAATTCCAGATTATGATCGGCTTGCTTGGCTAAACAAATACGTGGAGTATACATGGCCAGATAAGGCAATATGCCATATGGCAAAGCAAATAGCACAGCCCATTATAGCAGAGCCAATTCCAGCATACAAACTCGAGTCGGTAGAATTTGAAGAACTTAATTTGGGAAGCCTGCCGCCTACTTTTCAAGGAATAAATATTATTTCGGTGGTGATAAGATTGTGCCGAATTCGAGGGTGAATCTCTTTCAAGAGGGGAAGAATGCTGAAGACGAAGACAAACAAGATCTTCGGGATCTTTAATTTAGTTATTACACTTTTTATTTATTGTTAGTATTTTAATCCTAGATTTGTCAGTAAAATTATTTAATTATTCTAGTCTTTCTATTTGGTAGGAAAGATATTTAATTATCTTTTTAGTGTTAGGAGTGTTAGGATTCTTGGATTCTATTTAAGAGAACCTCTTATCTTTGTGTTTAATCGGTCAAGTTTTATGAAATAAGAATATATTCTTGAGAGTTGTATCTCTTGTTTTACCTTTCGTATGCTTTCGCGACGTCACTTTCTATTGCCAATGATCTTGTTGAAGAGACTTTTCCTACATTCTTATTCCCTTAGCTTTATATCCTCAGCCGCTAGCTCTACTACCTTGCTCTCTACAGCGGCAAGGACATTTTCTGTAGTCTCTAACCCAACTCTTCATGGTGGATGCATACGATCCTTTAAGATTTCGTCCATAGAAGTCTGCTGCACTCCCTGATCTTTATTAAAATCAGAAGAGAATTATCGATCTCACTAAGATAATTAGGGTTCTCAAAATAGGGATTTTGCGCTCTCAAGAGAGAAATTTTGGGCCACAAAAGTGGCAAATGTTACTTTTACAATTTATACTATATTCCAAAAAAGTTCCCAAAATACGTAAGAAATGGGCAAAAAAAGTTATTATCGTTAAAGGTCAATTTATAGTCTTATTTTTGACAATATATATATATATATATATATATATATATATATCAAATATCATAATACAGTAACTACTATTAGGCAATGTACTAAAACTAGGCGACGATCGACCACCTCGAATTTGAATCAATCGGCCGAGCTTTTTATTTCTTGTTTAAAACCGAATATCTGAACTCCTAAAAAAATATATTTTTGTATTGGTCGTAAGAGGTGCCGTAAAGGTTGAGATAGTTGTCTAGAAAAGTCGAAGTTTGGTGTCGGGCCACAGCGATCGGGTGCTGCCAGGACTGCTGTCGCGAGCTCGCAGGCGCGCCCGTGCACAAGCGGGCAGCACGCGCTTGCTGTGCACATCGCGTGCCGCGAGGCTCGCGTGCCAGCAGCCTGTGCGGCCCCCGTGTTGCTAACAGCCCGTCCATGCCTAGGCATCTTTCCGCAGCCCAACACCTGCTCGACACTCTGTACCAGTGCCAACAACACTGTTCATGTGTGATTTTACACCATATTTATATAGTATCTAGAGCTTATTCATTGCATTATTGGTGTATAAATTGCATTATTATGCTTTAATTCTATATTTGTTGGAAAGGTATTACACGTGCTTGTTTTGTAGATATTTTCACATATTTGTAGAACTTGTGACTATTGGAGGCGCATGGTGAGTACCTAAGAACCCCGGGATGATGAAAGATTGATGCACGAATGAAGAAAATGGAAGAAATGAGTGAAACTAGCAAAAAGTAAAGTGCAGATTTGTGACACGGGCACCATGCCCGTGTCAGAGGCCGTGTCACCTCAACAGAGAGAATTCGAAGCCCAGGGACCTGACAAGGGCTGCGACATGGACGGTGACACAAGCAGAGTGGCCGTGTGGGGCGCGCAGGCTGTTTTTTATATCTTTCCTATTTTGAAAATGAGAAGGATTTTGGACATTATAAAAGGCATATTCACCCTATTTTGAGGGAAAGAACGTGAGTAACAAATTAGAGGAGCCCTAGAGCACATAAGAGAAGCAATTGGGAAGCAAAAGAAGATCAACCACAAAGGGATCAAGAAGATTGAGAGATCAACGAGATTCCTAGTTTTTCTTTTTTCTTCCTTCTGAACTTTTATTATCATGTCGATTTCTAATTTGTCTATGTATATGAATTCGAACATGAGTGGCTAGATTATTTGATTCTAAGACTTGATAGTAGGTTAATATGCTGGGATTTTGGATGATTTATTATAATTGATTGTTTTCCTTTGAACCCTATTCAAATATTTTGCTCTTATTTCATGTTTAGCACTTGGCCAATGTTTTTACATGTTTGACAATATTGTTCATAATTCGAGAGATGAGTTCAATACATGTTTGACACAATTTACTTTCTTGAATCGAAAGATTAGTAGGTCGTTATGAGGATATTAGATCTTTTAATCTAATTAGAGTTGAATTGCATGTGTTGAGTGGAGACGCTGATATATATGATTTTTAATCTATGGTTTTATCGATCTTGAGAGGGACGATAAGCTAAATTTGTGATCATCTTATAGGGTAGACAAAGAAAACATTTAGTTGTGATATTTTTTAAGGAACCCAACTGGTAATTGAAACCACAGTCTTAAAATCTACCGTTCTCATACATTTTCTTACGTGTTGTTCTAGCTAGTTCTTTATTCTTACTTTATTTCCCTTTAATTTATTTTCTTAGTTAGTTAATCCATCTAATATTCGATCGTCTAAATAAAATTGACACTGTCATAATCTAGTAATTGGTATAATAATTATTTGGACTCTTGGGATACGACCTTGTTTGCCACATACTACGAGCGAAGCCGTACACTTGCGGTTGAGCTTTAAAAATATAGGCGAACACGTTTTTGGCGCCGTTGCCGGGGACTAATATAATTATTAATATCAATATTACGATAGATAGTGGAAATTTTAATTTAGATATATATTCATGATTTCAGGAAATGCATGTTAACTCGCTCTAAAGGTGCACAACTACCACCCTTGATTGACGAAGTTGAAGCATTCGCTAGACGCAATAGTGCAACAACTAGAAAAAGAAGCGGCAATTCAAAGTGCACAATGGACGAGCAAGAACAACTGAGGCCAGCGATTCGTGACCACTTTCGACCTCAATTTAATAAGAATTTTGGCGGGATTGCACATATACCCGTCAACGCGAATAATTTCGAGTTGAAGCCCTCTTATATCTCGATGGTTCAAAACAACCAATTTGGCGGACACCCGACCGAGGATCCGAATCAACACTTGACCCAGGTTTTGCAAATTTGTGATTTGGTCAAGTACAATGGTGTGTCCGAGGATTCCATACAGTTGCGTCTATTTTCCTTTTCTCTAAGGGATAAAGCTCGGAGTTGGTTGTCGATGATTTCTGATGGGAGCATTAATACTTGGGAGGAGTTGAATCAGAAGTTCTTGCTTAAATATTTTCCTCCGAGCAAGTCGATGCAACTCAAAAGCGAGATTACGCAATTTAGGAAGCAAGACTCGAAGCCTTTATACGAGGCGTGGGATCGATTTGGAGAATTATTGAGAAGATGCCCTCAACATGGTTTTCCGGAGGATCAACAACTTTGTTTCTTCTATAATGGGTTGTTGGGCCAAACGAGAGCCTTTGTAGATGCGGCTGCTGGAGGAGCTCTATTGGCTAAAACACCGGAGGAAGCGTCCAATTTGTTAGAAGAGATGGCTATGAAAGTTATCAGCGGCCTTCCGAGAGGTCGAACATTAGACGAGTGTTGGAAGTGACGTCTTCTGATCCAATTAAGGAGTTAGCAGCTCAAATGTCATCGTTGACGATGAAATTGAATTCTTTGTCGAAAGGAGCTGATCAAATGAGTGGAGTACAAGGCAACGTGTTACCACCGGATCCTTTAGGAGAGGCTAATTTTCTCAATACTCGGAACTTCAACAATTATCGCCCTAATCCGGTGCCGGGTTTTTATCACCCGAATAATAGAAATCATGAAAATTTTTCCTATGAAAATACAAAGAATGTGCTCCAACCACCGCCAGGGTTTAAGGTGGTGAATGTCGAGATTGTCGAAGAGAAGAAGATGGACATGGGAAATATTCTGGTAGCTTTCATGAATGAGACGAGAAATCGTTTTAACAGAGATGAAGAGAAGTTGGACAAGATTGAGAATCATGTGACCCAATTGGCTACGCCAATGGAGGCTCAAATGAAAAATTTGGAGATGCAAATTGGCCAACTGTCCAAGGCTATGGGAAGCCAGCATCAAAGGGGTCAATTTCCTAGCAATACCGAGTTGAACCCAAAAGAGCAATGTCATGCCATCTATGTACGAAGAGAAAAAGAAGAGGAGAAGGTTTTTGATGAGTTAAAGAAGGAACGAAGTGTGATAATGATGTCAAGGCCTGGGATTATATTTATTTCTAATTTTGGATCTCCTAAACTTTCTATCCCTTTATCTTTTCCTCAACGACTTGCGTAGAAGAAGGAGATTGAGGAACATGAGACGGTGACCTTAACGGAAGAGTATAGTGCGATCCTCCAATGCACGATTCCTCCGAAGCTTAAGGACCCTGGGAGCTTTACAATTCCTTGCACTATTGGGAATATGTTCTTTAGCAAAGCTTTATGTGATCTTGGTGCTAGTATTAATCTCATGCCTTTGTCAATTTTCAGAAGCTCGGATTGGGAGAAGTGAAGCCATCTACGATGACCTTGAAATTGGCGGATCGTTAAATAACGTATTCAAAGAGGATTATTGAGGATGTGCATGTCAAGATTGATAATTTCATTTTTCCTGTTGATTTTGTTGTATTAGACATGGAGGAAGATAGTGACGTGCCATTGATTCTAGGGCGTCCATTTTTAGCAACGAGAGATGCGTTGATTGACGTCAAAAAGGGAGAACTTACTTTACGTGTTAATGATGAGCATGTGTTATTTTCAATACATAAGCCTATATTTCATGATAATAATGTGCATACTAACTTTATTGACACTATTAATTCAGGTGATGTGATCAAGTCGGGAGATATCATGAAGTCGAAGAGCAAAATGGTGAAAATTGGAGTTGAAGATAAGTCACGCAGAGTTGACACGGGCAGTGACACGGGCATTATGCTCGTGTCAGGTGGTCGTGTCAGAGGCCTAGGAGAAACTCAAGATTTTCAGACGCGACACGGACGGCGACACGGCCCGTGTCAGGTGCCCAGATACGACTTTTGGAGCATGAAACGCAACACGACCCGGACCCTCAAGCACGGCCCGTGTTGGAGGTCGTGTTAGGTGTACTGTCCACTCCTATTTCACCCGAATCAAGTTCTTCAAAGCCCGACGCACCTATTATGGACCTCAAACCATTGCCAGATCATCTAACATATGCATACTTGGGTGATAATTGCACATATCCGGTAATTGTATCATCTTCTCAAACTTCTGAGCAATTAGATAGATTGTTGAGGGTGTTGCATACATATAAGTCGACTATAGGTTGGTCTACGTCTGATCTTAAATGTATTAGTCCATCACTTTGCATGCATAAAATAAGATTAGAGGAAGATTATAGACCATCTGTGCAAAATCAACGACGCTTTAACACCGTTATGAAAGAAGTTGTGAGGTTAGAAGTACTTAAATGGTTGGATGTCAGGATTATATTTGCTATTTCTAATAATGAGTGGATGAGTCTAGTGCAAACGGTACCGAAAAAGGGAGGATTGACAGTAGTGACAGAGAAAAAAGAAGAATTGATTGCACGAGATGAAGCGACCTGTTCAGTCCATGAACAGTCCTACATTGATTTGAAGGAGCCTTGATTGAACTTTGCAGGCGTCTGGCTGAAGACGTTAAACTTAGCGCTTATTGGGAGGCAACTCAATGTCTACTGCTTTATTTTTTTATTTTATTTTATTTATTTATTTATTTATTTATTTATTTATTTTGTTTGTTTGATACTTTGTTTTTCTTCCTTACAGAATATTACATGGAGAGATTCACATGACGAAGGACATGCTTCGAGATCTATACCAAAAGTTGTCACCACTCTAATAATGTTTCGTAAGTCATCTCTATTTTACTTTTATTGAAATTTTATTCTTCCCTTTTGTGCTTCATATAATTTCATTCAAGTTTGGGAGGGAGATGTGATATTTCGATTTGAGAAATTTAGAGAGAAGATAACAAAATATCTTACATATCATATAGTTGCATGTTAGGTTTTATCGTTTTAGCACGTTGATTGCTTTCTTAGGATTTGAGTGTTGTAGTTGATCGATTTTGATTCACCTTGATAAGTTTCTTATGCATATTTGATATATAATTCGGGCTTAATGTGCTAAGTGATGGTATTTGAGAATTGATGGAATTGTGAATTTGAATGATTGGTTGATGCTTTTTATTCATGAATATATGATCCTTTGTGAGTTTTCGATCCTTATTTTT